ATCTTTCTTAATCAAAATTCAATGTGTATCTTAATTAATAATCCTGAGAAGTGACGACTACATATGTGATCTTACAAATGTCTCATATTTTATGTTCATAGTCATAATGCCGTGTATACCATCGGTAATCACGTCTACCGTATTCAACGACTGGCAGTCTTCGACAGTGTACAGTGTTTCCAGCAACGGCCATATGCAGCCTTCGTTTGTGCACGGAGTGGCCTATCCTACGTCCGAATACAATCTCATCCCTGAAGTACACCACGATGGGAATTATTGTAAAGACAATGGCAAGAGAAATGGCCGTGTAAAGGGTTCAAGGAAGGATAATTATAATCATATGTTTAATCATGCCAACGAGATGCAAGCTGGATACGTGGCTGACGAGAGATTCATCCCACCGGTGCCAATTTTCGTACATGTTGTCCCTGAACATCACACTGTGCCTCCGCAACAGCACCCGGTACCTGGACAAATCTATTACGCATCGCCAATGTACTCGCAGTCCGTGCAGCAGTATCCTGTACATGCAGCCTATTCGGCGCATAATACAACGCATCATCCGGCACATCAACCAGACAGTAGATTTGTGCCACAATCGCATCCAGTGCTGTCGAATCAAGATTCAAATCCGCCAGCCACAAACTCATTAGCTACACCTACGCAACAAAATACGTGTACTTCCGTCAAACCAGAGGATGAGCAGGTCAATGGGAACGATAAAAAATCTGAGCATTCCGACACTAGCAATGACGATAGCAAAGTTAAGCCGCTGGTTAAAAAGACGTCAAAACATAACGTTAAGTCGGCTATAAATAAGAACTGTAAAATTGAGGAAAATAATGTGGTTGCGGATGTAAATATCGAAGTTAACGTCGAGATAACGCAAAATGGAGAGACGCAGAATAAGGATGACCAGGAAACCATATCTACTCATACGACGACTATCGTATCTGAATCTACCATTACCAAGAGGGACGAAATTGAAGTGAAGATTCAGGAAAGTGTTGCATTGAAAGAAGATCAAGCTGAAAATGCTATCAAAACGCCAACTGACTCCTCAGCCACGTCAAGTATCACATCTCCTGCACCTGTACTTGTTGATGCGGTACCTTCAGCTAAACGAAGTTGGGTGAGCCTCTTCAACAACGCTGAACCAAAAGTGTCTTCCTTACCCCAGACAACAGTACACAATGCAATTCCAGTACAGAATGGTATATTAAAAGAGACTGAAAAGGAAACGACAGTCATTGATCCCGTATCAACGCATCAAAATGCTTTATCCAACAATTCACTTGATTGCAAGGCTCTACAAAATGGTGAATTGGAAGGTTTTTATGATGATCCTAACTTATTTAGAATGGGAGGTAAGTGTAGAAGAGTATCCAGTGTTCTTATAAAAGAAATGTTTTTCAACAATGTTTATTGATACAAACTTAATATCTTGAAAACTCTTTCCAGAATTTCTACTACTATATCAGATGAACATGCAGACCGTCAGTTTGATACCAAGAGGTTTAACAAAC